TTTAAATAGATAAAGATATTAATATGAAAGATTCATTTTAAAAATTGATATTTTATTATTTAAATTGTAAAATAGATTTTTATTTTAAAAATAATAACTTAAAATATTCAAAGGAAAATATTTATTTTTCACTCCTAAAATTAGATACCGAAAAACATATCCTCTGAAAGTCGTAAAAAAAATAGAGAAAAAAGAAACTCATGAGAAAGCATTGAGTAAAGAAGAAGCAAACGGTTCTTTTGGCAAAAGTAAAAATGGATGAAATGCTTCTTCATAATCATAAGTCATTTCAACGAAAGAAAAATCGTAAAATCTTCTTTTGGGTACTCGATAGATTAAAGAATGTTCCATCTAACCAAAAATGACAACCATCATCACCATGAAAGTCCTCCAAAGTGGAAAAATTGCGGTAGAACCCTTTGGTTCTTTGCAACCCTCAAAAGTCAAAACTCAAAGGTTTAATATTTTCCACCTCTTAAAACGACAAAAATTTATTTTTAATCCCTTATTTTATTAAATTTAAAAGTTTTAACTCCTCACATTATATTATGATATTTTTAGTTCTTCACTTTATTAAATTTGTAAGTTTTAACTCTTCATTTTATATTATGACATTTTTAACCCTTAACCTATTAAAATTAAAGAAAATAGTTATTATTTTATAACATTTTATTAGTTTTGTTAACTGACTATTAATTTTATTAATTGATTGTTAGTTGACAAAAATTTTCTGTCAACTAATAGAGTTAATAGAATTGATTTTATAATATTTTGTTAATTATGTTAACTGACTATTAGTTAACAAAAATCTATTTTCAACTGATAAACTTAACAGTAAGTATAAAGTAAGAGCTTTTTTCTTCGATTTTAATAAATGAAGAGTTAAAACCTATAAATCTAATAAGATGAGGGGTTAAAAGTATGATTATATAAGGTAAAAAGTTAAAACTTTCAAATTTAATAAAATAAGGAGCTCAAAGTAAGTTTTCGCCGAATCTATGTCAACCAGTTTTGTCTGTCTACCCGGAGCATAAGGGTAGCCACTGCAAAAAACTTAGCAGGACCAAACAAAATTTGAATCAAGAAGAATCAAGTTTGGGTTAAGTTCTGAAGAAGCCCCTAAATAAGATAATTCCCAGGCTGCTCATGGCTGGTGTTGCTAAAATCAGAGGAACTTTAATGGGGTCAGTCTCAGCCTCAACCGTCATGTGTTTCCTGTTTATCCTTCCTTGATTTGATCTCTCTACAATGTTCTCAAGAAGAAGACTGCTGAGATTGTCTAACTGGCGCATGATTTATGCAATACTTGATATCTGGGTTCCATAGATAATGGCCATAGATCAGATAATTCAAAGCCAAACCATGTAGCTAAGTGATTTGCAGATGACAGGATACACACTCTTACTATATCCTACAGTTAATTTTTAACGTAGAAAGCGACAACTCGTTTCATCCCACATCATTGCGTGAAGGCAGAAAGCAGCCAGTTATTGTACTTGAATCAACAGGATGTAAAAACTCATGGACAAGCTTAGATCAGATCCATATGTCTGATAGTTTTAATGAAGACCCATGTTAAGGACAATGAATCTGAAATCAGAAAATATAGATTAAGTATAAAGAGACTAGCTGCAGTTTACCTCTTCCATTAAAGGTGACTTTTTCGCCGAGTGGGAGGAGCAAAAGGAGTAACTGAGTAAGGCATTATGGATCCAGTCAAGGAGCCATTGCCTAAACTCAACATAAAGTAAGAAGTGGAAGTGGAACCATTGCAAGCGTCAGCTTCGAAAGCCATATTTTGTTGGTTGGAAGTACTTTGCTTGAACGTAAACTTTGAATTAAACTCTTCAATTCGAGTTGTGTAAAGATAGATCCGAGATTAAGGACCATGGACGTAGTGCTATACTTCTTTAATGACCAAAATAACTCGTAAGTTCAGTTCTTCCTGATCGTACGGTTGCATGACAGCTATTGTAGGCATGCCCATACCCAATCCTCTATTTCCGAGATCATTGCTTGAATGGACATGTCAGACTCTAGTTATTTTATTAAGCAAACCATATGGATATCTTATTAAAGTCTATAAATACCCCCTTGGGCCTTTCAAAAGGTTATTTAAACGTTTTTTTTTTTCCTAATTCTTAAAGGTAGATTAGAGAATTGTTAATTTAAGTATTAAAGTGTCTATTCCGAGAATTCACGGGCTTTGCAGGTCATCCCAAAGAGAAGACTTGGACCGGAAGGAACTACCCAGTTTATTGCAACCAGTTTATTGCAATTACAAGTTGTAAACACATCCATTCTCTCATTTAATGAGGAAATCTGTTCGGAAAGCTGAGCAAGGACTCCCAGTAAAGGGAAAATAGAAGAAAAAAAATTAGAGTTAGACTGCAATAGCATTTTACAAGAGAACAATATAAAAGCAATTGCATAACCAAGGAAGCTTCTGTTGACTATGATTTATTTCCCTCGTATACATACCTGATTTGCTAGAGTAGATGTTGACTCACCCCTCTCATCAAACCTACGGTTGTTCATAGTATACTTCGATAGATTCTTATCCATCTGAGTTGAATATGAGTGTGACATACCACTGTTTAGTAAGAGGACAAGCATGGACACGAAATAAGTTACAAATGTGGTTGTCCTAGAAAGAGATATTTATCGGATATTAAACCTTTTGAGATGCTTGTTTCTGATGGCAACCATATCAGCAGATGCTCACAAGGGAGCTTCTTTGGGGCTTGATACCAGATACTCATCTAAGCTGAGCTTGGTCTTCAAATCCTTTGGTAGAGCCTGTAAAATGTTCAGTAAGAGGTAATCTAAAAATGCATGAGAAGTCGTGACCATTGAGATGTTATCATATCATAACCTCATTTAATTTACAAGCTTGTCAAGCTGGATCTGTTCAATGCAATGTTTTTGGACCCGGCTCGGCTCGGCCGGTTGAACCGGTGAACCAGACCCAGGCCTGAAAACGGGCCGATTGAAGGCTTCAGCCCGTTTAGGTGAATGGCCCGTTGAAACCCGTCAAGCCCGTCGAAACCCGTCAAGCCCGTCGAAACCTGAACTCGTGCGACCTGCTACGCTCGCCCGGGCTGAAATTTTCACCATCTTTTTAAGTTTTTGTCTTTTTGACTTAAATTAAAGTTTAAAACTTAAATTAAAAATCAATTAAACTAATTAACTAAGTAAAAACTAAAACCTAAAAACTAAAAACGCTAAGAATCTAAGATCATTAGGAGCTCGGGACAGTGGAAGCAAATTGCAAAACCCAATAGGAGGAACCAACAGAACTGCAGAAGGGTCTTCCGTCGATCTTCTCGTCGTCGATTTCTCTTCCACCGATCGTCCGTCGATCTTCTCCTCTGTCATTGCTCTTCTTCTCTTTCGATAGAAAAGCAACGGACAGAAGCATAACGAAGCTACCGCCTTCAATCAAGAGAAACTGCGCAGCATCAGCCCCACAGTGGACGGCAATCTCGCGGCCAGTGCGATCTCGCGGCTAGTCTCGTGCCAGACTGCAAGCAGCTTGGAAAAGAGAGCAGCAGGGCCAGGCATGCGGCGGTGGTCACTACGGAGCTTGAGGAAGATGAAGATGAAGACGCAACAAAAGAGACCGATTGTGGAGATGTTGAGAAGGTACTGGATGTTGCCATACCAGGCGCCGTCGAAGGCGAGGGAAGGAGGAGGAGAGGGAGTTTGGTTCATTGGGGTGGGGGATTTGGAGATTAGGGTTTGGGTGATTGGGTTTTGGGATTTTGATTCATGAAGGAGAAACTAACCTACACAGTAAAATTCAATAAAAATGTCAGAAAAAAAATTTTTTAGTTGATCGGTTGAATCGGTCGGATGAACTGATTCAACCGGTTGACCCGGACCCGGTGGTCAAAACGGGCCAGCCACCGAGCCGGGTTCAAAAACATTGGTTCAATGTAGGTACGTGGAATGTATGAACCTTCCAAACCAAGCTGTTCTGCAACATATTTTACGACTAAGCAATCTTTCCTTGCACCTTTTCAACAAATTAAAAATCCAAAGCAAATTA